TATCTCGCGTATATGCCGATGTTTATACTGTTTGTAGTTTGAATATGAAAGTGGTTGTTGATGCCCCTCCTATTATTCGACGTCGTTGACAATGCGATAACAATGCCACTCGCACTGTGCACATTTTAGCACTAGATCTAGTGCCATTTTAGCACTAGATCTAGTACTTTTTCGGATTAGTGCTACTAGCACTAACCACTCGCACTACGCCCATTTCGACACATTTACATACATGGATTTTCACAATTTTTGCATGATATTTTCATACAGGACATCTGTTGTTCAAACTCAGGGAAGACTTTATAATGATTGCTAAGTTGACTAAGTTTGATGGAGTTAGGACTAGAAATAGTAAAGTTATTGTGCACACAATAACAATTACTAATGACGACAACAAAGACGACAACAACGCCGGACAAAAATGTTTCTCTTTATATACCTTTCCCTTCCATCTTTGATGGTACAGGCAAGGTAAAAATCACCATACATTTCCTGAAAATTTATAAATAACACAAAGTACAATTACCAGTAAGTCCCAAAACTACCATGACCCTAACATGACGATTCAGAACTGTGCCACATCTGACGATCACTGTGACATAAGCTTGGATTTTATATCCCAGTTAATGACATGTATCAAAGTTTCATTCCTGTACTATGAGAATTGTATTGCATTGAATGCCACAAACATATGATGTCACAGATATCAGTAATACCATGGACTTACTAACATAGAATAAACCACTGACCAATTTCCTTTGATATATCTCTTTTGTCGCTGATTAATTTGAAGTAATAAATAAACTCTGATGCTTTCTAATCATACTTAAGGTAGAGATGCATGTTCGTGGGCACTTGGGAGTGAATTTTTTTTTTAGCTTTTTATTATCCAAGCAGTCTTGGCTACAGACTGTTTAAATTTTGTAGAATTTAGAATCATGCAACAAACTCAAAAGACGATTTTAAAATATAATTAACAGGTGCAAACATTCTCTCTTTTGAATGCTTAGCAAGATTTAGCAAGGCTATACATAAATAATAAAGAAGAAACATGGTGAAAATCAAAGAAAGCTTAGAAAGAACTCCCATGTGCTGAGAGTATTGAAGACACATTAAATATAATTCAAAATTACTTGTACTTGATTGAGATAGTGATGGAAAAGCTGAAAACTAATAATGCAAATCAGAAAATTAATACGAACAGATTTGAGTGTAAAACTAATGAGGTCTGCGCAATGTAATATACCATCTATATACCAAATTTTATTGAAATGTGATTGGAACCAAAAAAAATTATGAATTATTATGCTAATTAGGGAATTAAAATAAACGGATTTTAACCCCAAACTAATCCGGTTTGTACATTGTCCGAGAGCATCTTTGCACCAAGTTTCATTGAAATGAAATAATAGTACTTTAGATATCAGTGTAATAGCTTAAAAGTAGTTAATTATGCAAATTAGTAATTAATCTGTACAGATTTTAACCCACAATTATTCAGTCTATTGTCCTACAGCATCCATGTACAAAGT